ACTGATTGGAAGAGATCCATATTTGTGCCCATTCCAAAGAGAGGAGACCCAACAGAATGTGGAAATTATTGGACAATCCCTTAGATATCCCATGCGAGTAAAGTTTTGCTAAAGGTAATACAGAAATGGCTACAATCATACATTGACAGAAAACGTCCAGAGGTTCAAGCTGGATTCAGGAGAGGCCATGGAACAAAGGATATCATTGCTGATGTCTGATGGATCTTGGCTGAAAGAACTACCATATGACCCATCAATTCCACTTTTAAATATATAATTAAAAGACCTGAAAGCAGAGACTCAAATAGATATTTGTACAGCAGTGTTCACTGTAACACTATTCACCATAGCCAAAAGGGGAAACAACCTAAATGCCCATCAGCAGATGACAGAGAAATAAAATGTGGTCATAATAGAACGGAATATTACTCAGCCAGTAGGAGAAATGAAGTCGTGGAAGACCTGATGCTGAGTGAAATAAGTCAATTACAAAAGGACAAATAGTGTATGACCTCATTTATAGAAAAAGACAAGAAAAGGCAAATGTGTAGAGGCTAGTTTGTCAGCGGTTACCAGAGGTTGAAGGGAGGGTGTGTGTGGAAGCTATTGCTTATGGAGTACTGACATGTAGTTTGTGATGAAGGAAAAATAACATTGATTTATAGCTGATCCATTTGATTGCAGCTGATCCATTTGAAGTTGTACCAAATCTTTTTTTTTTTAAACTTGAACTGGCTAAAGTTGTGTGATAAATGTATTTACCCCAAAACAAAAGCTGGTGAGGCTCCTTATGTACATACAGCGAAACACCTCATAGGATTTTTTCCTTGATTTGGGGGTTTATCATCATGGTTTGATGTGACATCCCAACTAATCAGCCTAGTAATGTGTTTACTGTTTCTATTCTACCTTTTAGTTGGTTGCATATCTCCTGGAGTCTTAAATGCTTAAAAGTGTGTCCATCCAAGGCACAACAGCTAGTCTCCAGTATTAGAATGTTGAGATGAGAAGGAAACAGCAAAGGAATCTTACAAGGAGTTGTCACTGAAGTTGGAACTTAGAAATCTAGTATGTGAATGCAGGAAGCCAGTCATGATATAGAACCCAGTACAGGTCCATGATGATTAACAGACTCTTTTTCTGTTTTGTAAATTCTCCTGATGGTGCACTGATTAAAACTCTCAGCTGCGAACCAAAATGTTGGTAGTTCAAACATACTAGCTATTTGATGAGAGAAAGATGTGACCGTCTGCTCTTGTCTTGGAAACCCTGTCTATGGACAGTTCTACTTTGTCTTACAGAGTTGCTGTGAGTTGGAATTGACTCTAGGGCAGTGTGTTTGGTTTACGGTTTCCTGTTTCATGCTAAGGTTATTAGGATGGCAGGTGGAGGTAATGCAATAGATTTAGTGTGTTTTGTCACTAGCAAGACAGTCCATAATTTTTTGTGACTTCTTTGTAAACAGAACAGATGTTTGTACACATAGATGTATCAGTAGATTTCTTGGTCTATGGATTTGTGCCCATTGGAGAGGATGTCTCTAGTTGCAAACCAAAGCATTTCAAACTAGTTTTTTATCCATTGTACAAACAAATGTTTCTTGAAGTCATGCTATGGCAATGCAAAAGAATATGTTCCACCTTCATACACTTTGGTTACCATGCCTACATTGAGCTATTTGGTCTTCCTAAAGGTGCCTCTTCTCTCTAGCACATGCTGTGCTCTTTATCACCTGGTGATGTGTCCATCAGAAAAACAAAGAAGCTGCTACTCCAGGAACTCCCCCCTCTTCTCCTAACCCCATCTAATATGAACTCCCCTCCTCTATGCTTCTGCTTCCCATGCTTAATTTCCTTCATTTTGCTATCTCTCAGTCGATATTGTGACCATCTCTCTCTTCCCCTAGCCGGGAGCACCTCAAGATAGGGACCCTCTGTAGTTTAGAGATGTGCTCTTGTGCTGTGGCTAAGCCCTCCAATTCTGAAGCCAGACTGCCTATTTCTACCTCTTCTCTTCATCATTGATGTAGGCAAGTTATTTAGCTTCTCTTTGCCTCAGTTTCCTCATTTGTAAGATGGAGATGAAAATAATACGTACCTAAAGGAGTTCTGGTAGAGTAATGGTTATGAATCAGGCTGCTAACCTCACCGTCAACAGTTCAAAACTACCAGCTATTTCACGGGAGAAAGATGAGGCTCTCTGCTCCCATAAAGATTTACAGCCTTGGAAACCCTGTACAGGGTCACTATGAGTCGGAACCAAACTCCATGGCACATAACAACAACAACAACAACAGGATTGTTGTCATAACTCAATGCACTCATTTGGAAGAGTTTAAAACAGCTTCTGGAAGGCAGCTAGCTAGATTTTTTATTCTAATTGTGACAAATATATATATTGTTGTTGTTGATTAATGCCATCACATCAGCTCTGACCCATAGCAACCCTGTATAAGGTTTCCAAGGTGAGCTTGAACTGCCAACCTTATGGTTCAAACCAACAATGTGCAGTCCAGCACTTTAACCCACAGCGCTCTCTCTCTCTCTCTCTCTCTCTCTCTATATATATATATATATATATATAAACATTTGTCATTTCAATTTGTACAATCCAGTGACATTAATTCTATTGTGCAACCATACCACTGTCTGTTTCCAAATTGTTTATTACCATTAACAGAAACTCAGTACCCTCTAAGCAACAATGCTTAACATTTTATTAGTAAAAGTGGTGCACTGTGGGCCAGCCACATAATGATTGTAGGCTTGTAGCTTCATTCACTAAGTAACCCAGAGATGGAAAACACTGTCACATGGGAGATGCTGGCTACTACTTATTCTCCTTCCTCCTTCCAAACCTCCAGCTGCTTAGCAGTGCATGCCATCGGATTCTATCAGTCACTTTGTCCCTGTCACCCACTAATGACCCTCCCCCTCTCTCTTAGTCACCCCTGTCATAACCAAAGTCCTGAGCTCTAGCTCCCTCAGCTCCCCTCCCTCCTTTCCAAGGACCCTGGTGGCACACTCCACAGAAAAAAGGTCCTGACCGTAAGCTCCTGTAAAAATTAGAGCATAGGAAACCCTATAGGGCAGCTCTGCTCTGTTATTTAGGGTGGCTGTAAATGGGAATTGACTCCTCAACACACAACATCACTTATTATCCTTGGAGAAGTTCACTGTCCACATGGACCTTTCTAGCATCTTTCAGTGCCTCATAATTGGGGTTTTCTGACAGAACAAAGAACTTGTGTAGTCCTAATCAAGCAGTGGTGTCCTGGTGTGGCGCTGTAGGATAAAGCACTGGACCACAAGATTGGTTTGAAGCCACTCCTTGAAAACCCTGTACAGAGTCATTAGGAGTCAAAACTGACTCAACTGCACTTAACAACAACAACAATGGAGCAATGAATGCTTCATCTTTTCCCTCACGGGAAGACTTATTCTCCATGAATTTGAAGGTCACACCAGGGGAGAAACTATAATTTCTTCCTCCTAACCCACTCCTTTCCTGCCCCCATATGCCCATGAAGGTAAGATTCCTGGGTATGCCTGCCTTTCTACTTGACTTGTGGATTTTAGAGCTGCTTTGGTAAACTTGAAACTTGCATATCCCATTACTCTCTGTTGTTGCTGTTGGTAAGAGCCACTGAGTCAGAACTGACTCATACTGACCCTACATAGGGTTTCCGAAGAGTTGCTAGTAATTTGAACTGCTGACCTGTGGTTCAAACTGACCTTACAATCCAGTGCTTATCCTACAACACTACACTAGACTCATTCAAGAATGAAGAATTCCGTTCCCAAGGTTACATAAATTCAGATGAAGTTGTCACCAACTGTAAACACTTCATGCCATCCTCAGCTCCTTGTCCTCTTCATCACCACTGTGTTTTCTGGTGCTGTCGTCTCCCATGGTCACCAGTGAAGGCAACTCCTCCTCAGTCTACTTCAAGTGCTCCGATCTCTCTACAACAGGTGCCACTGCTACAGTCTTTGACCTCAAGGAGGTCTCCCATCCACTGAATCCACATTTGTCTCATTCTCCTGTTTCTGGATTCCCTGCTCTCCTTGGCAAGTCTAGATTCTGGTCTATTTTGCATTTTCACTTCCTTGTAAGACCCCTCAACTCCCTTTTCCAGCTTGGCAAAATCCCAGTCCAAGATGAACTCTCCCATTTGCTTTCTCCATGCTGACCCCTGAGGATCCCAGTGTTGCTGGAGAAAAGCACAAAACTAAAGCTTCGGACTTGCCTTCCAATTCACAAGCTCTGAGTCCTTCTGTTTCAGTAGGCTTTCCTTTCCATTCAGGTACCTTCTCGCCCCTCAAGCATTCACACCCTCCTCCAGCCTCACTCTTAACACAAGATCTCACCCCATGATTCATTCAAACATCAGACCTGTGCTGTTTCATCTTCCCACCACCAAACCCTCAGGTCTACCTGTTCTTGGGCCCCATTGTCTTTCCAACTGTGTTAGGTGAGTAGCATCCCTCCCTATCTCAGAGCTGGTCAGTGGTTGCCAAGAGCTTGAGCTTTCCACACACTCCTACCCCCACTGAGTGAAGATGATCAGGCCAAGGGAGAGACTCTGCTCAACACTGCCCTGCTGCATGACCCCTGTGGAAAAAGGAGGAGTGCCAAGCAGTCCGGCACTTGGGGTGAAACTGGGGACCACGGGGACCCCAGGAGCTTTGTCCTACCATAGATCCCATTCTCTGCCAATTACCTTCAGCTGTGGGGAGAAGGAGAAGAGAAACGTCTCGCCAGTACCATAGAAGCGTTTGCTCAGTCGGATGGCTGAGGAGGAGAAGGCCCCAAACATCTGGAATAGAAGAACTTGCAGTTTGCAGCTAGAAGAGAGTTAGGGGGTGGGAGGGTGTTGCTCTGGCTTCTTCCACTCTCCAAGCTTGGTATGTTGGCCCATCCTAGCTGGACCCTGTCTAGGGAACCAGGGCAGAGCTGGGGGATTGGGAAGGCTCTGTGGACCCATCAGCATGTGTAATTCCCCTTAGAACTCCCCAAGGAAGAGCTCTTTTTGGCATCCTTCTCCAGAGCTTCAAGTCCACCCCACTTTTTTCTTAAATGTAATCAAGTTATAGATTGGATTATATGAAGAAGAACATAACATCAGGATTGGAAGAAGATTCATTAGCAACCTGCAATATGCAGATGATATAACCGTGCTTGCTAGAATCAAAGAGGACTGGAAATATTTACTGATAAAGATCAAAGATTACAGCTTTCGGTATGGGTTGCACTTCCATGTAAAGAAAACCAAAATCCTCACAACTGGACCAATAAACAACATTATGATAAACAAAGAAAAAATTGAAGTTGTCAAAGACTTCATTTTACTTGGCTCACAATCAATGTTCATGGAAATGGCAGTCAGGAAATAAAATTTGCATTAGGCAAATCTGCTGCTAAAGACTTCCTTTTAAGTGTTAAAGAGCAAAGATGTCACTTTGAGGATTAAAGTGAGCCTGATCCAAGGCATGGTATTTTTCAATTGCTGCATAAGCATGTGAAAGCTGAACAATGAGTAAGGAAGACCACTTTAGGAGAATCTGTGCATTTGAATTGTGGCGTTGGAGAAGAATATACTCTGGACTCCCTGAAGAATAAGCAGATCTGTCTTAGAAGGAATGCAACCAGAATGCTCCTTGGAAGCAAGGAGAGCAAGGCCTTCTCTCTTAGACTTTGGACATGTGGTTAGGAGGAGCCAGTCTCTGGAGAAGGACATCATGTTTGGAAAAGAGCAAGACTCCCAGTGAGTTGGATTGACACAGTGGCAGCAACAATGAACTCAAACGGAACAGTTGTGAGGATGATGCAGGACTGGATGGTGTTTTGTTCTGTTACGCAAGGAGTGGCTATGAGTCTAAGCAACTCAATGGCCCCTAACAACAGCATCAAGTTTCCAATTCATATTCCATGTTCTCCAGTTATGCAAAAAGTATCTTTTATATCCCACTTTATAAACAAAAATTTAACATATTCAATAGTTATAATTCTGAGTCATTATTTATCTTACTGCTCAATATTTCACTATGTGGAGGGGCCATGATTTATTTAACCTCCTCTTACAGTGAGATAGTTAGGTGGCCTGCAGTTTGTCACTTTTATGAACAATGCTGAGTGGCTAGAGATCTGCTCACTGGGGATTAGTTATAGGGACTAAGGTTTTGGCTTAATACAAGGGAGCTTCACAAAGTTCATAGAAAAATGGAATCAAAGATAAGGGAATAAGGTGAAACTTCTTCATAATCAGAGATGTTTTGCCATGGAAGGGGCTCTGTCCATCTTGAACAAAGCCTTCCTGCTTGAGTTGGGGGGTCTTGCAAGGCCTGAGATCTCTCTTAGTTCTAATGTGTTCTTATACAGAAAAGCATTTGAAACCAGCTTCCTACCCTCCCCCACTGCCTGGAGAGCCTGCCCGGAACTCCATCTGTGGAGAGACCAAGTGGACTGAGAGCATTGAGACCTCGAAGTTCCTCTTGTTGAATACAGGAGCAGCTCTGGCTGCCTTCTCTCTGCTCTTCTGCTTCCCCTCTTGTCCTCTCCAAACCATTCTTCTCTCACCAACTGATGTTGAACCACTAGGCCCCTGCTTAAAATCCCTTCACAGCATCCTTTGCTTTGGAGGATAAAGTGGCAAATGATTTACATTGAACAGTGGAAGCCAGAACTCAATGGGATTGCCTTGTTTTTCTGGGTCTCACAAATTTTCCACTTTTGAAAGGATCTTACCGCTTTTCCATCGGTCTCTATCAGTGGAAAATATTTGTGTTTTCTGAAATGTTTCCTCTTTGTATGGGTTTTGGCATTTACAGGTATTTGCTTTATGTCTGGCCTCCTTACTCTCAGCCCCATAAATAGACATTAACTCCAAGAGGGCTGGAGTCATTTCTCTCTTGATCCTGTTCTATTCCAAGTCTCACTTGGCATGGCACATAGCAAAAGAAAAAACAACAACAAATGTGTAGCCATAGAGTTGATTCCAATACAGGGTTTTCTTGTCTATAATCTTCTCAGAAACAGATGGCTAAGTCTTTCTGTCTCCTATGGAGTGGCTAGGTGGATTTGAACCATCAATCTTTAGGTTAGTTACTGAAGGTTAGGAACCCATCTCAAACCACGTTGTTGTTAAGTGCCATCAAGTTGGTTCTGACTCAACGATCCTGTGTAAGGTTTCCAAGGAGTGGCTGGTGGGTTTGAACTGCTGACCTTGTAGTTAGCAGCCAAGTGCTTATCCTAGATGGTACTTAGCATTTGTGTGTTGAATTAGTGAATGAATGAATGAATGAATGGAAATGGGCATGACAGCACTGAGCAGGGTAGACTTTATGCATCATCAGTGTCCATCAAAGGTGACTTAGCTTATCACCTCAGAGTCCTGGTGTGGCGCTATGGGCTAATACATCAGACTGCAAAGTCATTTGAACTGCAAGGTCGGTAGTTCAAGTTCACCAGCTGCTCCTTGGAAACCGTGCACAGGGTCACTATGGGTCGGAATTGACTCAACAGCACTTAACAACAACAACAAGCTTATCACCTCTGCCCTCTCATCCCTGAGGCTACCCCTAGACAGGACCCACTGGCAATTGGAAGTCCCTGAGGCCTTGGCCCAGCTCACCTGCCCATCCTGGTCCCTCAGCACCAGCAGCACTGGCCCACTGTGACCTTCCATCTGGCGGTATAGCCTCTGCAGACTGAAGCCATCCCTCGCTGTGCAGAAGGCCAGCCTCCAGGAGTTCCCCGTGACCCTCGGTGGGAGATGGAGGCTGAGCTGGGGACAAGACTAGAAGTGAGAAGGGGAATCCTCCTCCTCCCAGCCTTCCCCTGACAGAAGCTTGGGGGCCTGGAAAGACTGGGGTGAAACAGCCTGGTGCCTTACAGATTATAGACTGGGGTCCTATTTCTCTATCATAGGGCACTTTGGTGACTATTAGCCCTTGGAGATATGAGAAATTGTTCCCATTTGACAGCAATTTGCACAAAGCCCACATTGGAACTAAATGGTAGAGGCAGAATTCAAAGTCAGGTCCATCTCAGAACTCTGTCCCCTTGGCCATCCTGGCCCCTAAAGGCCAGAGAATAAATAGATGAGATGCTGAACCCCTCCTCCTGTTCCTCCACACCTCCCCCCTATTCTCTGCCCCAGCTTCAGTTTCCGTTTGCAAGGACTGATTCTATGTAAGAATTAATTTCTTTCATTAACTCCTTAGCTTTTTGGCCTAGTGAAGAGAGTGAGGCTAAAAACACTGGACCATTCTACAAGCAAGGAAGAAAATGCCCAGAAAGAAGAAATTATTTCCCCAAAGTAGCACAGTGAATCAGAGACAGAACAAAAGTAATACCAGGTGTCCTGGACCTGGCTAGGGCAGAGTAGGAGGGCAGATCCTTTAGGCTCAGGGCTGAAGTACTTGGGTCATGGGCAGTGCCCGAACCTGCCTAATCTCCGAAGCACCTAACACCTGGCTGGCTTCTGAAAGTTGGGTTTCCGTGGGATCTTCAGGAGCAGGGGCTGTGACAGAGGTTGGAGTTGCCACCTTTTCTTCTGCCTCCTCTTTGTCCTCACCCTCCTCCCCAGACAGATCACCCTCCACCTGGCAGGGCTGTGAAGAGACAAAAAGGCCTAGTGAGTTGAGGAATGAGGAGATGCCAGTTTCCTTATCATCTGAGTCTAATAGTGTCGGACCACCCAATCACTCTTGGCCTAGGCCCCTGCAGCCCCTGGCCCAGTCCATAGACAGAAAAGATTCTGCTGCTGCCTTAAGTCTCACTCCTTCCCTTGTCCAGATACCCACCCCCCATACACACACACACACACTCACACACACACATGCAGCTTATGAACTGCATCCTAGGCCCAGTGGTTTTCCTGCCTGTTTGCTCTGCCCCAGAGATCCACTTCTAAGCTTGTCAGCTAAAGAGAAGTGCAGGTGGCAGCCCAGCCCTGTGAGCTGTGACTGTTTGTACACGAAATACCAACAACTGTAAGAGCTGACATTGGTAGAGCACATATATGGCCTGCCTGTGGTGAGAGTTTGGTCTCTGAACTTTATCCCAACAATTCTAAGAGAAATACGAGTTTATCCTCATTTTACAAAGGAAGAGAATGAGACCCAGATGTGTCCTTGTTCACCAGTGAAAGTTTGTGGGAAAATTCCATTATCTTTTTTTTTTTCCCCCATTATCTTTTAATTCCATTTTCCCACGAACTTTTTGAAGCCCCCTGGTAGGTAGTAAATGGGTGAATAGATTAGTGTAAAACATGCATTCATCAGTGTGCTGACTTAAAGTTGTGTAGGGCAATCAGTGTGTGAAATCTGCCCATGTATCTGTCAAAATGTTTGTGACTGTGAGTTGGAGTTGTGTAATATAAGTGTGTGTGTCCGTGGGCATGGATATTGGTATATTTAATCATTCATTTATTCATTCTTTCAGCTGTGTTCTTACTCTATACCAGAATGTGTGTTTAAGTGCGAACACACACACACACACACACACACACACACACACACACACTGACTTATGTGACCTTTCATAGGAAAAATAGACCTCCTGGATCAAACTTGGGTAGGACCCCCTTTCCTGCCTTCCCCTACTCCCCATGTTCAGGCCTTAAAGAAAGGGCCTCCCTCTGCTAGCTGTTTGGGGTCAGCACTTCATCTGACACCAACTTCAGGGAGGAAGAGATAGAGACACCAACTGGTCTGTCCCCCTTGATGGTAAGGCCCCACATTCCTGAGTTAGCACCCCTTCTGAGCCTAAGGCAGAACAGAGACTATCACCTGTCTGCACCCAACCCCAGTCCAGGGTCCAGCTGGGCCAGAGATCTTCCCTGTTTTCTAGCCATAACCCCCAGTCCAAGCAGATGAGCCCCTTACCAGCCGAGAGTAACGCCAGCGGAGACCTTTCATTCTCCTGTCCCAGTCCAGCTGCAGGGGAAGGTCCAGCCTGAAGCCTGGCCAGGTGAGGGTGCCGCTGGGTGGGGTCTAGAGATGAGAGGGAGAGGCCTAGGACACACCCTCTGGCTCCATGCCATCCTGCTGCCCTTTGTTCCCCATACCCGTCACTCCCAGGCTGAGTTGTCACTGGGTAGGTTTGTCAAGTCAGCTGCACTTGCAGTTAGTATCTAACACATGTGGGCTACACATAGTCAATTCCCTTCCATTTCTTTGTCCTCTCACTGCCTGACCCTGATGGCAGATGTTGGGGATCCACGCCCTCTGGTTTTCTGTGACCTTGAATAAGGCCCCTTGTAGACCTGGATCTCCATTTCCCCACAAATAACATGAGAGGGTTGGAACAGATAATCTCAGAGACCCTCACAGTACTAAAAGTCAAGTTGGTAATTCAGTTCCTTCTCAAAGCTGATGAGCATATTATAACAGCTTGAAAGGGGCTGTGCCTAGACCAAAAGTCTTTTTAAAAAATAACTTAATTTTTCTAATTAAAAAGCAATCTGTGCTAATTATAGAAATTGGGGAGAAATTTAGATAGGATAAAGAAGAAAATTTAAATATTCGTAATTCCGTCTCTTAGAGATAGACAGTTTTTAAGAGTATTACTTTGCAAACTCATATTTGTTTCATCAGAAATTAAAATACATATATAAACTTATAAATTGATAATACTATATCATTTTATAAACTGCTTTCCCTATCTTATAGTAAATGAAAAATTTCCAAGGCATGAAGTATTTTTTTAAAACATAAATTTTAATAGCTGCATACTATTTCATCAGAGGATAGATGAAATCATTTACTCCCCTACTACTGGGCATTTTGTTTGCTTCTAACTCTCTGTGTTTATAAGCAATACTATAGTAAACTCCAAACCCACTTAGTGGCTCTACAGTAGAAAGATCCAGTGATCTGCTGCCATAAAGATCACAGCCTAGAAATCCCCAAGGGGCAGCTTGAACTCTGTCAGATGGGATTGCTATGAGCCTAAAATGCACTCGATGGCATCTAACAACAACATACTAATAAACTTCATTGTTGATTTGTTGTTGTTGTTGTTAAGTGCTGTTGAGTCAATTCCGACTCATAGTGACCCTGAATAGGGTTTCCAAGGAGCAGCTGGTGAGCTTGAACCACCAACCCTGCAGTTCAAATGACTTTGCAGTCTGACGCATTAGCCCACAACACCACATCAGATTTGACTCTATCCTTTATTATATTTTTCAGAAGTTGAATGAAGGTTTAAAGGGCATATACATTCTTTCTGGGTCTAAAGTCCCCAGCTGCTCCATCGCTCTACATCATCGTCTCTGCCTCCATCTCAGGGATCACTGTTTCTCTGGGTAGGGTCCTGCTTTCCGCTCTTCTCCCTGGCATATACATTCTTGATAAACATTTCCAGCAAGACTTCCCTGGTACCTGTAGAGCTTCTCAAAGAAAATGTGTTTCTGATCAAGCTCTATACCCTCAAACTACTGACAAAGAAATGGTGGCTCAGAAAGTGGAAGGGACTTGGCAGGGTCACAGAGCAGTGTACCATCAGGATTAGGAGTATAGGCTCTGAAGTCAAGGAGTTTAGGTCCTAGTTTGCCACTTACTTGCTGTGTGAGCTTGGGCAAGTTACTAAACATCTCTGTGTCTCAGTCTCATTAGTAAAATACTTATAGGCCTGTTGTAAGAGTAAATGAAGAATGAAAGGAAGGGAGAAAGAAAAAAGGAAATTGCTAACTTCTTATTTTTTTTCTTTCATGTACTGGAAGGGAAACACTTTGACTTATTTTCTTATTTGGATAAACCATTGGGAACTTTCCTGCAAATAAAGAGAAAGAAGGGGGAAATAGAAAAAGAAAAGAAAGAAGAGAGAAAAGAGAAAAATAAATTGGAACTGGATGGTGGTGTGGCTGGGCTGTATCTTTAAAACCATGAGAGAGTAAATGAAGATAATGCTCCAGAAGCTAGGCTGTTATGCCAGCTCTCATGTCCTCCACTTGGTGAGGTAACTCACTGTCCAGGTATTTAGAGAGTACTTTTAAATGACCCTGCCAATTATTTCCTCTATACTGCCTCTTTGAATCCTGCTGTGGCACTGTAGGTTAATAACCTGGACTGCAAGGTCGGTTTGAGTTGCAAGGTTGGTGGTTCAAGCTCACCAGCCGCTCCTTGGAAACCCTACACAGGGTCACTATGAGTCAGAATCGATTCGACGGCACTCAACAACAACAACATACTGCCTCTTTAACATAGGGGAGTACAAGCTGAGCTGCTAACTGCAATGTCAGCAGTTCGAATGTACCTGCCACTCCATGGGAGAAAGATGAAGCTTTCAGCTCCCATAAAGATTTACAGCCTGGGTTACTATGAGTTAGAACTGCCTCCACCACACGTAACCACCATACTGTCTCTGAGATGCAGTGGTCAGCCAGTCTCATACTGGACGCCTGGGGACAGTCTCTTGGTCTGCGGGGGAAGGGAAAGCGAACTGTGGAAGGATGCACTCACCTAGCCAAGCCCCGGCCTCTGGTGACCTTCTCTAGCTTGTCCAGCACAATGGTTTCCTTATCAAATCTCCCCAGAGAGGGGCCACATCAAAACGGACCCTGCCCACCTGGGGCTCTGTACCCAACAGTTGGCTCTGATTCTCTGCCCTGGCTCCAGACCGTCCTCCCTAGCTCTTATACCTGCCCCAGGGTGGCAAGCTCTGGCCCTGAGCCAGCACTCATTCCAAGTAGGAAAGCCTGCCAATGATTACTACACATCAGAAATTCAAATCTCATAAACACACACAAACAAGACCTTGTCACCCTATGGCCTCCAACCCTGCCACAACCAGCCCAGAGTGCTACAGGAGACTGGGTCCTTGGCTCTTACTTACAACTTCTCACCAGAGCTGCTAGGTACCACCTGGTGCCAGAAGCCCACCCTTAAAGACCCTTCCCTTAAAGTTCAAACCAGTGGGATGCAAATATTACAGAAAAAGGTCATGCTTGCAGAGTTCTCCATCAACCACTTGTTCAGCAGGGAGAAGCCAGCACTCTACCCCTGCTGGCTGGGTAGCTGTAAGGAAACCCCCTCCTACCTCCCCTTGGGCCTTGGTTTCCCCTCAGATGAGAGGATGACCCCTTTCCTCAGAGGGTTGTTATGACATTAGATGAGAATGTGCATAGAAAGCCCAGTTTTGGCCCACAGTAGGCACTCCATCCAAGAGAGCTACTTCTCTGTCCCTGGCTCATAACAGGATCCTAGTGAATGCCGAGTGGTAGGACCACAGAACCTCAAAGCTGGAAGGGACTTCAGCCAGTCATCGGGCAAGTGGTTTCCACCCAGGAAAGGATTTCCCTGGATAATTTTCCCTCCAAGTGGCCACCTGTCCTCTGTTTGATGACTCCTAGGGAGTGTGCTTACTTCCTCATGGGTGGCCCACTCCATATTCACACAGCTGAAAGGGACCCTGTCTTTCAGGGAGGATTTGTGTCCCCAGATACTCTGCTCACAGCCAGATCTCCTGAGAATGCCCCTCCAGCACCTGTATTATGGGGAAAACAGGTAGGTGAGGGGCACTGTTGCTACCTCAAACATGGCTGTTGCAACATGTGTTTAGGCTGTAAATGGCTCAGCGATCACATGCCTAGCCTTCCCTTCTTCCCCTACACCATTTCCTTCCACTCATTACCTGAGCCATTAGGCACTTTGAGAAGCAAATGATATTTGCCTTGATATCCCATTCTCTATCCTGGAAACCTCTACATGCAAGCTGGCAGGAACAATTGCTAAATAATAGTCCCCACTTGAGGAGTCCCTGGGTGGTACAAATGGTTAACTGCTCAACTACTAGCTGAAAGGATGGAACTTTTGAAAGGTTAAAAAAAGTTTGAACTCATTTTGGAAGACAGATCTGTCAATCTATTTCCAAAAGATCACAACCTTAAAAACCCAATGGAAAGGCAAGCAATGAAGTCACTTCAGGACAAAACCCCCTCCAACAGTGAAACTCAAAGGGAACACATGAGCAGGCATGTAAGCTTGTTGATGATCACATTGGTCTACTGGTGAATGGAAATGGGGGAAAGGCAATAATAAAGATATGGTCTGAGTTCTACCATGTTCCATTGAACAAGTCCCATTGACCTGTAGATGAGAGAGAAAAGAGGAAGGACTGGTTGATCCAAAGTATGGTGAGACCTGGGGATTTCTGAGCCCATGGACAAGGACATAGCTATGGAAGGCTAGAGCTGAGAGTGAAGTGTCCAGCTCATATGAAGTGAGGGGAGATGCACAAGAATGCCCAAACTTTCAGATAGTACCCATTTGACCTAGCTTCGATGCCTTGATGATCAGAACTTGATTAGAAGGAGATAATTTTTTTTTAAATAAAGGAAACAAGTGTAAATTGCTACAATTTGATGAACTTGACCTATACTTATGGATGTAGTAGCACTAAATACCAACTGAGAGGGAAGAAGTCTTCACATCAAGGATCAATCCTATCCCCTCTGTACACAGGGCTGATAGGGACAGGCACCTTAAACATTGGCTACCTAAAATTGGGGTGCTATAAAGGCACAAAGTGACTGGCTTACAAGTTTTCAAGAGGAAGTTTAGTTTCAGAGTGTGAGGGGAAGGTAGAATCTCCACTGAATAGTTTTCATCTTGTCTAGATAGGTCTGGTGAAAGGAGATGGGGATAAGATTCTTAGGATTCAGTAGTAAGTAATTGTTATCATGACTAATTGCAATTGTCACAACTGTAAAGGTAGAAGTTTTGTAACATAAAGCGGGGAATAGTTAATCTTACATTCCAGGAACAGAGAACCCTAGGACCATCAAGGGAGAAGAGCATGAGTATAATGTGGGACCTATCCAGAGAGGCAGCCACACCAGAGATGGAGGCAGAGATGCGGACATGGAGAGTTAGAGAAGCTGAGGACTGTAGACTCCTAGAAAGAGAAAGGCTGTGTG